TGTTTAAGGGGTTAGTTTTCTGAATTTGGTTACCATGGAAACAAACCTTTAAAATGCCCTTAAATCAATTTACAGAATTATTGCCCATACTGAGTATAGGCAGCACCAAGAGATTTTAAGTATTAAAATCTATTTTAAAATTATTTTTAGAATTTAAATGACCCACTAAGCCCTTTGAATATGTAATTTAGATAGCCATAAATCGTATTTTGGCAAAAGGTATAAAAATCCTATTTATTATAATCAAGTGATGGGTTTATAATTTCAATTACTCAAATGTGTAATTTCAATGAATGTCTCCTATTTAATTTGAAATAACAGTTCATAAATGTTCTGGACCTGGTTTTAAAAACAAATTATTATGTATGTTCAATACTCATTGCTGTACCTCTAGGAGTCATTCATGAGTTTACCTGACTGTACAGATAATTTAAAGGAGAATTGCTGAGACCTTGTCTTGTGATCATCAAAGAACAGGCTAGAGGATTCTATGATCAGACTGGGAGTTTCAATCTAATCCAGTCTTGCAGATGTTATCCTAGTTTATGTATGTGGAAAAGGTCCTCCTCATACTATACACAGGCTTAAAATCGAGCTTGTTTTTAATATTCTAGGGACACTTGAGGCCACCTTTTTTTTTTTTAAGATTTTATTTATTTATTAATGACAGACACACACAGAGAGAGAGGCAGAGACACAGGCAGAGGGAGAAGCAGGCTCCATGCAGGGAGCCAGACATGGGGACTTGATCCCGGGTCTCTAGGATCAGGCCCTGGACCAAAGGTGGCGCTAAACCGCTGAGCCACCTGGGCTGCCTGGGGCCACCTTTTGATAGATGAAAGCTTCTCCAGAACTGTAGAAGTTGAGCCTCCTATATCTGCAATTTTAACACCACTGCTCACTTAAGATAATACAGGATTTTATAGGATACAGGATTTTTAAATCCTAAAATATAGGATTTTATATTAGGATATTTTAAATAGGATAATTTTAAAAGTTATTATTAGTTATTTTCCATTCTTCCAAGAACTAAACAAAGTCTGTCTAAATTGCTGTAGACATTTTGGGTTCAATTGAAGGAAGACCTCCTTCATGCTACCAGTGATTAAACAATGATTTGAGAGATTGAGAGAAAGTATAAAATTTCTGACTCCAGAGAAAGAGTATTTTATTTTAGACATGCTTCTCTTTTCCATGAAAGAGCAGAAAATTGGTACCATTTTGTTTTCTGTTAGATTAATTACCTGGCTTTCAGAGTATTGGGAATAATCTAGGTATATAGAGATATTTTAGTTTTTAAATTCCTAAGTATTCTTCAATCTCCTTTCCATTAACTTTCTACTTATTCAGTCATAAACCAAGTGCTAAGGTTTTTGCTATTATTACATCCCTTATACCATTGGTTCCAGGTCTTACATGCACCAAGGATTTGACTTTTTGTGTACACAGAGTGATTTATTCCTGGGGGTTGGAATCTGTGTCTGGTTCATTTTGATTTTCAAAAACCACCTATTATATTTTTGAAACAAAAATTAAAAGCAGAAATTGTTTACTGTCATATGAATTTCTCAGTCAATTTTTACTGTGAATATAAAGAAAGGATTGAGCTTTTAGAATTATTAGAACATTTCTAGAATAGGCAAATAGATAAAGTAGATTGGTAGTTGCTTAGAGAGTTGGGGAAAAGGGAAGATTCTTTTTGTTAGGAAAAATGTTCTAAAATTAATTGTGATGGGAGTGCCCAGGTGGCTCAGTCAATAAGTGTCCAACTCTTGATCTCAATTCAGGTCTTTTGTTTATTTTTGTTTTGTTTTGCTTTGAACTCCGGTCTTGATCTCAGGGTTGTGAGCTCAAGCCTGCATTGGGCTCTTAAAAAAAAAAAATCTGTAGAATTAATTGTGATGGTTGCACAACTGTGACTATACTAAAACTTATTGAGCCATAAACAGATCATATTCCATAAACAGATCATTGTATTACATATTAATTTTATGTCTAAAACTTACCCTACCTCAAAAGAGAGAGAGAGAGAGAGAGAGAGAGAGAGAGAGAGACAACCATTGAACATTGCCCAGCTCGGAAGAAATAGGTCAATGATAAAGAGTGAACAGTTTTGGAGAATTATTGCCATAGTAATAAAATGTTAGGAAAAAGGAATCCAAGGAGCAGAGTTGATTTATTGCTCAGTCTTAATGTAAGAATTAATTAACTTTAGTGGGCTGCTTAATTTTCTTAAAAATTATGATACAAAACAAAAAACCTTGAATACTAATGCATTTGGCAAGGAAAAAAAAAGGCACATGACATTTTGTAAAGGATTATATAACTTATCAAATTTAGCCAAAACAATGCACAGAACACCAGAGAACAATTATGCTATGGGGAAATTTGGCAATTCAAGTGAGGATTTCACTGCAAGATACTTTTTAGTTCTTCCTTACATTTCTGCAAGTAAAATGTTTTTCTTATTTCAAGGCAAATTTCCTATATTTATACTAGTCCTCTTCTTAGTTATTCTACATCAGTATATTACCCATTTAATTTAGCTCCTAACTTCAGAGCTACTTAAAAAGAAATCTAGAATGTCTCAAGTAAAATGTGTTCCACAGAAAATAGCTGCACAGCAATTCAAGGAGATATGGTCATAAAATGGAAAAAACCACCAGTATGTGGTTAGGTGTTATAATATCCTAGTCTCTTGCCCAGAGGTAAGATTATAATCAGTGGTATTAATAACATAAAGTACATTCTAGCAGACTAAGTCCAACAAATGAATGAGAAAGTGCTCTAAGAAATGAAACTAAGGTCCAAAGGGTTTCCCTACCCTTCCTTCATTCTTTATAATAATGAGAACTGTCCCTCAATGCCTCAATTCACATTGTATATGGAATTGTTTCTACTGCAACTGTTTACTGGAAAGGAAATTACCTTTACCCTATAGCAGTATGGAATAAATTAAAGAAATGATTTGTAAATTCCCAGAAATCCCCAGTGAGATATAATTTAGCTGTTACTAGAGACTAAGAGGACAGCATTCACTTTACTCTAGATTTTTAGAGTTAAACCTCAGCAAACATCTCATGTAATCTGTTTTTAGATCATAAAATAAAATTAATATTAATCTAGTTCCTAGGCACTTAGATTGGCTTTGTAAATTATTGGTTGACTCATACTCACTAAAGTCATCCATTTTATGCCAGAGGCTTTATTAGCAGTACAGGAGCATGAAGAACTGGGAAACAAAAGAATCCATGGATAGATAGTGTGCTGGGTGTTGCAGATCTCCTCAATCTTCCAACTGTTTGTATCTGTTTCTTTTCCCTAACAGTAATCTATGTATATCAAAATGAGCCACTTAATCCCTTTTGTAAATCAAAGTTGAAGGAATTGAAAAAAAAATATTACAATGATAATTCCTCTTTTTTAATAAAAAGATGAGAGACATAGTTTTTCCCAAAACACTCTACCAAGTCCCTTTTTCTCCTCTTGTATTTTCCAAACACTGAGAAATGATCCCTGCACTCAATTCAGGGGGGGCAGATAGCATGCTGATATCTGTAGTACTGTAAATGTACAGAATATCCTGTATATCATGAATAAGATCAGTACAACTTCATTTCCATAAGTAAAGATTCAAATGGCTGATTCCCCATCTGAGTCAGACATCATTGTTTCTTGTTATTTTTATGGCAACCCAGCATTTCATTTAATTACATAAGATATTTTATAGTGCTCATTTACTCACTGGGCATTAATCCTCATGATGTCCACCTATGACAAAATAAAATCCCAAACCAAAACAATAGTGATAACTACCACCAAAACCAAACAAACTAAACAAAGCCCATCATACACACTTTTGCCAGTACCAAACATTCACTATAAACTACTGCCCATAATGCTTAGTGTTTAATGCTTATTTCAAAACAATTTAAACTGAACCATGAATCACAGCTTTCCTTACAAATATATGGAAACAAAATAGATCATCAGAGGTACATTCAAAGTGTCACTATACCCCTCTCCTATGGCTTCTTGTCCATCTTCCCCACCTAGTTTCAACATAAAACCTAGAATAATAGTTAACAGTATCAATAAAGCTGCCAAGGAAACAAGTACTTGAAGAATTTTTCACAAAACCAATCATTCCCCAAATAAAGTTTTATTTTGAAAAGAATACAACATAGTCATAGAAATTTAAATAGGGACACATTTAGCAATACTCATGAGTCAAATTATATTACAAGTGAGGTCGCCATCTGTGTCTGATTATTCCCATGAATGGAAAGATATAAAGTTGCAGCTAAACCAGAGGCAGATAGCTAAAAACACCATAACTTATTTATATGCTTTCATTTCATACTTGTGTCTAAATATTTAGATGGGAATTGATGCAAATTCACATAGGATAAAGAAATATGCTGCCCAGATAATAAAAATTCTTTTTACTTTTCTTACTGTATCACAGATAGCGTCACCAGTGATTTCTGTACAAAGGAGCACCACATGGCAAGCTCTTTCCTTCCTGATGTAAACACAGCATAAGGCTTTTGGCATTGCGGTTCGTAACTCCCCCAGGTTGAGGAAAATAGCAGTGACAATTTAAGAGTTTTCTACATAGAGCTGATTTCATCAGGAAAAAAAAGGTGTTATATATGTTCTTCTCAAGACCTTTATGTTTTAGTGAGGAAAATTCAATATACAATTAGTGAAAGTAACTTGTATATGATGGAAAAATTGTTTGTGATTCTCTAAAAAAAACAAAACAAAAAAATCTAGAGGTAAACAAGAATGAAAGGCCTCAGACACACACCTGGACCCTCTCACAGCATAGGGTTTTTGAGGTAATTCAGTGCTAACCCCAAGATTATTCAACAAAACCAGAGCCATTCCTAGATCAGGGGAAGAATTCCAAAGCACCCAAAACAGCCAATTAACCATCTTCAAAGGATAAGGACCCGAAGATAAAAAAAAAAACAAAAAACAAAAAACAAAAACAAAACAGAACAAAACCAAAAAACAGCGTAGACTGCTAGGAGAGCAAATTGAAGAGAGAATTAGGCCCAATGAAGTCAAAGGAAAATTTTGCTTTTTCAATAGTAGAGGGCAATATAAGATGATGAATTAGGGAACTTCGATCTGGTTGCCAAGTTGCCTGACCTCAGGCAAAACAATCAATTTCTTTGAAGAATAATGTCCTCATCTCTAAAATAGGTACACTGAGATCCACCAGCTTTGTTCAGAGGCTTCAGAGAGATGAAAACCAAAGACAACAATGTACTTGAGATCCCTTTGGAACGATAAGGAACTATTCTTAGTAAATGGAGATTCAGGGACTTTTTTTTTTTTTTTAACATATTAAGGATAAAAGCCAATTTCAGGTAAAATTAGTAAATCTTCTATTTTTTCACCTAGGACAGATTTCTATGCAACAGTAGTTGCTGTGAGTCTGTGTCATTTTTTGATAAGCAGAAATGGGAAATTTTTGATTGGCTTATAAATTTCTCTCATAATACAATGTTATTGTAGTATAATATACTACATAGAGATTTTATTTAATAAACCAGGAAGGGTCATCAGCCACACTTAAAAAGGAAACACTGAATAAACATAACTCTACCTCAGCTCCAAACTCTGGCACATTATTACAAAGACCCAGAAACACATAATTTGTCCTATTAGTCATTAGAGGTTATTAGTCACTAGGAACGGAAGTTCATACAGATTAGGTCCTGGGCAGAACGTTTCAATGTATACATATTTCATTAAGTTTGTGACTCACTTCAGCATTGCACATCTCAGTGGGGCAGTAACTGTTAATAAGGCCAGTTCAACAACCACTTTCCTCTTGCTTAAGCAGACTCAAAAGCAGTTACAGATACACCGTTTCATTATAACATAAAAATAGTAAGCCTTGGGCTATCGCACATGGCTTTTCAAATGTCAGTATCTAACTTGGATAAAATAAGGGAAAAAGAAATAGAGGGAGCTGATTTGTGTTGTAACCTGTTCTTATGTTGGGCATGCTCCCAGCTGCAATATTTTAAAATTACGAGTAAGCAAGTAAAACAGAAGGCTTTATATGTGAAAGTGGAAAATGATCCAGAAGTCTTCTATTCAAAAACAAGTTAATTTTTTCTTCCCAATAACTCACCAGAAAGAAATGGGCACTTAGGAATTCTAGGGCTTCTTCTGAATGATATTCAGAAAAATACATAAAAATAAAAAACCGAGTGAGAACAGCACATTATTTAAAAATAAGACTTCCTTTACAAATGGTTGCCCTGTCTTTAAGGATGTGTGCCATATAAAATGGGCACGTGTGTCTCTATAACTCATCATGTTTATATGTAAATTCTCTGGCAGATATAAATCCATCTTTGTCTTCATCTTCTTTATCAAAAATATCCTCCACCAAAACATCATGATGACTTTCATTCACCACTGCACCATGCTTTTCAAATTCCTTCTTTAAATACACTTTAACCTACAAAATAATGGGTCTCATTAATAATTCTAATTCATAAGATACCCATATCAAGCCAGTTAATATCACAGAGTGGACTGGTAGTTCATTTGATTATGTGTAACAATGACTAAACAATTACAATGTATTTGTAATGACAGTAAAAGGTATTATTTCCCTGTAAAAACCGTTGCTATACTGCTACAGTAAAGACACAGAATATTGCTCAGAGGCGAAGACAAGGCTTATATTATCTGAAAAACACCCAAAGAAAGCATACTATCTGTTCTTGATCTGAGTCTAAATAAAGCCAAGCATTTGAAAGACTGCAGTCTTTCACTCCATTGAATTATCCAGATCTCATTTTCTAACTAGGGCCAGAATCCCAGATATTTCTCTTAAAATGAGATTAAAGGATAGCATTTTTTAAACTTATTTAAATTTAAAAAAATTTTTTTTATTAAATCCAGTATAATTCACATAGTGTAATGTTAGTTTCAGATGTACAATATAGTGAACAATTCAACAGTTCTATACATTACTCAGTGCTTATCATGATAAGTATACTCTTAATCCCTTTCACTTATTTCACCCATCCCCCACCTGCTTCCCAGCTCTTAATGGCATTTTTTAATTTAACTAAGTGTCTGGTAATAGTACATGCCATGGCCCTGGCTATGATCATGCCTCATGACCTTTCAATCTCAGACATTAAAGCAAAATCCAGCCTAATGAGTGCTTAGACCAAAATTTTCCACTCTCCTCCAGACATTTAAAGATATAAACAAAATACTGTTCTCACTTACCTACTAGATTCACCATAATGCAGTTCAACCTGCATTTTCATTTTTAATTAGAATCTCTATTACTCCTTCTGTTAGATCAATAATTTCAAATCCTTTCCCCCCTCCACCAATATGTAAATATATGACATACATTTATTTTTAAGATTAAGGAGGTTTAATGCAGTTGTTAAAAAAAAGGCGGGGGGATGATAAAGCTATATGGATTAATGTAGAATATATCTGGGCAGCCTGGGTGGCTCAGGGGTTTAGCACTGCCTTCAGCCCAGGGCCTGATCCTGGGGACCTAGGATCGAGTCCCACATCAGGCTCCCTGCATGGAGCCTGCTCTCCCTCTGCCTGTGTCTCTGCATCTCTCTCTCTCTCTCTGTCTCTCATGAATAAAATTAAATATTTTTTTAAATGCAGAATATATCTCTAGGATATACTGCATGAATAAAGCAAGATGCCAAATATTATGTATGTCCTGCTACTTTTTGTGTAAGAAAAGGGGAAATAGGAAAATGTATTCACATTTGCTTGTATTTGCATAAAGAAACACTGGAAAGATACATTAGAACCTAATAAAATGGGATGCAGGGGACATCTGGGTGGCTCAGCAGTAGAGCATCTGCCTTCACGCTCAGGGCGTGATCCTGGAATCCCAGGATCAAGTCCCACATTGGGCTCCTTGCATGGAGCCTACTTCTCCCTCTGCCTGTGTCTCTCATGAATAAATAAATAAAATCTTTAAAAAAAAAAAAAGGGATTCGAAAGGGGGTAGATCACAGAGTAGGAGGAGATGTGGGTGGGAGAAAGACTTCTTAATAAACACCTTTTTTAATTGGATAGATTTTTTTTTAACCACATGAATGTGTTATAAAAAATATTTTTTTAAATGAAAGGTAAGGGATCCCTGGGTGGCGCAGCGGTTTGGCGCCTGCCTTTGGCCCAGGGCGCGATCCTGGAGACCCAGGATCGAATCCCACGTCGGGCTCCCGGTGCATGGAGCCTGCTTCTCCCTCTGCCTATGTCTCTGCCTCTCTCTCTCTCTCTCTCTGTGTGTGTGTGTGTGTGTGTGACTATCATAAAATAAATAAAAATTAAAAAAAATAAAAAAATAAATGAAAGGTAATTAAAATTTATACTGGATAGAAAAAAAAGTCCAGACTAGTAATATTATGAGATGTTATGAATTTAGTAACTGTAGATCATGACCCTGTGAGCTCATAACAACTTCACTTATTTAAGACTTAATCATTTCCTGGCCATTAGAATGAAATTGATCGAAACATAAAAAGGGACTTGACTTCTGACCAACCAAGACACAACATAGAACATGGGCAAACAGAAAAACACAGAGTAGATGTCTACCTCCACTTGTCTTACCATAGCAGCCATACTAAAGACAAGTATGTGTAAAAATCGCTGCAAAAGCCTAAATAAATTATAGAGACCTTCTTGCTTTCTTCTTACTCAAACATTAAGATGAGCTGGGAAAGATCTTCTGATCTAGAAAACTCAGCCTGGAGTCTCCTTTCCCCAGGTGTCAACCAGAACAAAACAACATGTGGGTTGTTTGCTGCTAACTGCTAGAAAATTACAAGTGCATTTAGCAGCCAGTTCACAGTTTTAAACATAAACCATCAATATGAGCTATTTCTCAGAACATCTGTTTCTTATACAGCAACTCCAAAATGGGAATTGTGTTAGCAAAATGGATCTTTCAAAAATTCAGGGTGATGGCAAGATACAATGAACCTTAAGTATGGTGGGGAGTGGAGGGCAGGGGCAAAAGAAGGAATGATTGTTTTTAAGTCTCAATAAATTTCTCTCCAAAACAATGATTTCCTATTTTTTTTTAAAAAGCCAGTATTCACAGCATCACCATTTTCAGAAAACTTATAAATCATATTTTATCCAAATAAAAATAAGTTTTCTTTAAAAACACATTTTTTAAAAAAGTGATGAGAAAGAAAGAAACAAAGAAAGGAATAAGAGGAAAGAAATATCACCTCAGCTTTAGAGAGTTTCCAGTCATCGTTAAGATCCATTTCTTGGAATGACTCATGGGATCTCGGTCCATTTCGAATCTCCAGGAGATCAATGTTGAATATCAGTGTACTCTCTGGGGGAATTTTACCTGACATGAGGAGAGAGGAAGGTTAAGTTTCATTTAAACAATCCCAGAGTTTTGATGACAGAAAAGTTACGACATTGAACAAAATATTCTTTTCATTGAATTAAATGAAGAGCCTTCCTAACATTGTCACACTTAAATGACTTATAATTTTATTTTACTCAAACGAATAGAATAGAGAAGGAATAATCCAAACCAGTAGATAAAAAGCAGTCTGTTTTTGGCTTTGCGATTACAAATAGTTTTGTGCACATGAACACACACATACATACAGATATGACTAATGGCCTGGTATTAAATTTCAAATATGATTAAGATATTACATATTACATGTCAAGAATGACTTAAAGGGCTTTAGATAATTCAGAGTTAATTACAGTACAAATGATTTACTACCTTTGGCATCAGTAAAGTCCTGACCTAGGAATACATACAGTACTGCCATTTACCACTAGGAGGCAATATCTAGCTGGGTGAGATCTGGTGTCACACCCGCCGTATTAAAGCTTACCCCACCCTTTAAGCCTATTTCCTCATCTGTAAAATGCAGAATCTGTTGGGAGGATGAAGGAAGATAAGTCTGCAAAATATTTAGCATTATGCTTGATAGATAGTGAGCTCTCAGTATATGTTACTAGATAGAATTACCTCACCAGCTTTAAAAACAATGTGGAAAAGTCCGACAATTTCAGAAAGTTAGGCAATACCCCCTGATATAGAACATGATGCCTAGTTTCCTTATAATTATATTTAACACACAGGTCTGGGAACATGACAAATATTTCTTAGTTACCCCACCTCAAATCCCACATATTTCCATGAAAGCACATTTGTTAAATATTTAAAAGAACAAAACTTACACTGTGTGTCCAAGCTTACCATTCCAGATCTAGACAGAGAGAGGGCATGCACTAGAAGCGTCGACAAAACTGGTGTCTTTCCAAAGGAGGCATGCAAACATGGTACCAAAAGACTACAAAATTAGTATTATGTATATATTAGAACAGTTAGTTTCATGGCTCTCAGTTTAGAGGAAATTACTTTTTTAAAAAACCCATTACTTTGGTTAATATGGTAGTTAGTTAATGATAGAGGTCAAGGTTCCAGAACTGTTTATGATTAGCTCAGTTTTCCATTAAGATATAACAGCTTTGGGCAGCCCTGGTGGCTCAGCGGTTTAGCGCTGCCTTCAGTCCAGGGTGTGATCCTGGAGACCCGGGATCGAGTCCCACGTCGGGCTCCCTGCATGGAGCCTGCTTCTCCCTCTGCCTGTGTCTCTGCCTCTCTTTCTCTCTGTGTGTCTCTCATAAATAAATAAATAAATAAATAAATAAATAAATTATTAATAATAATTACTTATAAAAAAAAAAAAAAAAAAAAAAAAAAAAAAAAGATATAACAGCTTTAATTTGACCATTTCAAATGATAAGACACAATCATACTTCCTAAAAAAAAAATATACATCTCTACTTACTTTTAAGGAAAAAAAAAAATCCCACATAGTAGTTACTCTAATTTCAATCTCCTAAATCCAGAGAACTCCAACGCTATAGTAAAAATGTAGAATTGTTTATTACCTTTTCCTTCTTTTCCATAGCCCAGGGCAGGAGGAATGATGAGCTTTCTTTTCTCTCCTACACACATTCCCTTCAAGCCCTGGTCCCAACCTTTGAGAGCCTCCAGGATGCCCAAGGTAAACCAAATGGGCTGACCATTGTTATGTTTGTGACTATAATAGAAAGAAAACACATTAGAACTTTCTAATAACTTTTTTCTTATTACTATGGTGCATTTTTTTCCCCATCCATAAGTGGTTAAATTTGAAAGTTAACAAAAACAGTTACATACATGCGCACAAAACCAAATCAATTTTGTAATTCACTGTCCATATTTCTTGATGCAAATTTCACACAATTGACTCAGGTAAAGAAGGTGAGAGGGAATAATAATTAAAACAGTTAATAACTATTTGTGATTTATTGTGTACCAGCTATTACCCTAAATGCTTTGGCCCTTTTAACTCTGACAATGAGCTAAATATCATGATTTCTTCATTGTACAGAGGAGGAAACTCAGGTTAAGTGTGCCAGTATCTGATCTAACTCCAAAGTTCAAGGTCTTAACTACAATGATGCTGTCCCAGGAATATCATAAGGGGGGCAGAAGAGGGGAAAAAATAATGGAAAATAGGTGAGTTTGGGAAGGAAGATGAGAAGCTAAGGAAAATTCACTGCCAACCTTTGTGAGTCCATACCCACATGGACTTTGGAGTCAAGAGCATAGCACCTTCAAGCCTATCCACAAACTCTCCCAATACACTGCCTGGTGATGGCTCTGATAGGTGGAAAAGGCTGCTCTTCAACCCTGAACCCCACCTAGGCAGTGGTCACAGGCATCTTCTGTGAGGCTATGCAAGGAAGCCTGGAGGAGTGGCCCCTCAAGGACTGAGGGAGAAGGAAATAGCCAAAGTATCCTGGCTCATGTGCTGGAGAGAGGCCAGCCTAAGAAATCCAGCTGGCTGAGCTACTAGGGGACTTGAAGGCGGAGTAGTACCTGAGCTCTGAATAGCTCCCTTTCAGGGCAATACGGAAAGTGTTCTCAGGGACAACTTATAGGTGAGAATGAGATATCACTGTACTAGATTAGTTACTAAATCCAGGTAAAGATCATTACTTCTCCTTTTCCTTAATTTCCCCCCATGACTAAAGAAACAAACTGCTGACTGTACAACATTTTGGGAAGGCTAGAAAAGAATAAAGAAGGAAGAAAACAATCTGCCACCCAGTGCTGACTACAGTTTTGGCACATTTCTTGTCACAGCTAAAAGACTTAAGCTACGTACCACACAGGCTATCGTTCTAGAAATTGCAAACATGCTTTACGATGGACCATTTGATGGTAATTAATCACAATATTCAGGGTTAGTAGTTCCTAACCGTCTACACTGAGGCTACATGACAACAGTTCCCTCATCAGGTACTAGAACATTAGTAGCGAACTCCCAAATAATGTCTTACAGCTACCACCAAAGTCCACATACCATATAGGTTTTTCCGTTCGGGACCTGAAAGAAATCAGGCTGTGTCTAATAGAGATTGGACTAAAAAATAAAGATGTGATTGAAAATTTTAAATGCAAGTCTTAATACTGGTTAATGTGGCCCTGGCCTTGTCAATAAGGAGATAAAGCTGTTGAAAATTCTATGGCAAGCCACTGTTTTTGTCAAGTTTTGCAAGGGCTAACAGAGTTCAGAGAAGGGTGCCATTCACTTCTCCAAAGCCTCAGGACAGACCAGGTCTGAACGCCCAATGAAGGCAGGTCATCAAACCAGGTCTAGGAGGGGCCACAAAGCTTCACTACTTTAGTTCATGCCGTTCTCTCTACCTGGAATGTCCTCTCCGCCCCCATTCTCCACTGAGAAGGAACCCTCCACCCATCTTTCAAGGCCCATCTCAGTTATGATCTCTGGGAAGTCTTTCTCTTTCTCCACCTCTTGGAGCATAAATAATTCCAGACCCTGGAATTGTGCTTTGTGAACACTTTGAACGTTCTGCACTATACGGCATGAGTTATTGACTTGTCTTCTTCCTCTCTGTAGATGATGTACACGCTGGAGGCCAAGAACCCAACACCTCTGCATCCTCAAGTCCTGACTTGTGGCTGTCCAACAAGGGTTTGTTAGATGAGCAGAGAAATGAATGGAGAAGGATGGAGGAGTCAAAGTTTTTTAATCTTCCTAGTATCAAGCACAGAGCCTAACACAAAAGAAATGCTCAATAAATACTGTTGGAACGGAATAAAGAGAATCAGTGCCTAATTCGAAATCTGTACAGTCGTAAAACTTTTCCATGTTGCAATTTCTTTGCTTATAGAACAGAAATAATGATAGTGTAACCACCTGAAAAATCCTTCACTGTAGGTATTGGATTAATCTTCCATAACCACACCCACACCCATCAATGAAGTCTTTGAATTTCTAGAAAGAAACAAATAATGAAACAAATCATGGTACCGTGCCTTGACCAACATGTCATCTGTAAGAACAAAGATTAAACAGATCAATGGACCAGCATTGGCATATCCTACAAGCAAATGAATGATTGTGTATCCTTCTCATGATGCCCGCTGTGAAAAGTTTTAAGTAAATTTCACCTACACCAAGTGAAAAATGGAATTGAGTTATTTTCCCTCGGGATTGTTGTTTGAAAAATAAGAATTCCTTTAAGTCTTTTTCTCTATGTATTGCCTAACTCTAAACCTAGATAATTCTGCAGTCTTTCAAAGCTTCTAGTTCTGATTTTTATAATAATCAAAAAAAAAAAAATTTAACCCTTTATCCCTCACCACGTTTCCAGTAAGAACTTCAAAGGCCCTGTCACATAAGGTTGTCGTTAGACAATTTCCTTTTCCAAAGAAGGAAATAACATATTTCAGGTTTTTGAAAGAGAGGTAAAATCTGGTATAGGCTAGCTTTCCTGCCCGAGAGTTGGCATCGGTGGGCGGGTTGTTCACGGTTTTTACCTCCAGGGTATAATTACTTACGTGGAGTGAAATAAGGAGCCATCCTTTTCTAAGTAGCCTTCATAGTGGACCAACATCAAGTCCCCCCCTTTGGTCTTGCGATGGCAGATGAAAGGCTTCTGGAGCACCTCGATCTTCACTTCTGGTTCAGGGATCAGAGCCCCACTCAAAGAAGTGACCAACAGCGTCAGCACCGCGTTCCACAGGAAAAGCCTCATCTTGCTGCAAAAGGAAAGAAGTTCCTACAAAAACAGAGAAAGGGCCCCCGACCTCATGGAGCTAAGAACGTAGCTGGAGGCTTAAGGACGGCGGCCTCGGGCACGTTCATGACTCCCCGTTCCTAGCAGACGTGGCACATTTGCTACGACAACTTTCCCACGCCTTGCAAACCCACCTCCAAAGAGTTAAACTCCCAAACCGGGGTCTGACTGGCTCCCGGAGCTGGGCCTCCGGGGAAGGGCGGCTTCCCATTGGCTGGCGGTGCTGTCCGCTGGAGCCGCGCAAGCCAATGATGCTGCAACAATGACAGCGGGGCGGAGCCGGGGCCGGTCCGGCTGCGACCCACCCACCCACCCCCCGCCCCGGGGAGTGGTCCTAGAGCCCGTCGGGTTGAGAGAAAGCCGCGGCCTCGGACTTTGCGAGACTGGGGGGTGCGGGGAGGCGCGGACCTAACCGGAACCCCCACCCCACCCCACCCCGGCGGATTCACAGCCGTAAAATTAGGCGGGCTCAGCTGGCCGGGAAGAGTCCCGGACCCGGGGGAAAGGGTTTCCGGAAAGACTCGTTTACTCTCACCGGTGCTGAGAGACCACCCCCCCCGCCCCCCCAGAATCCCGCAATCCCGCTGCTGCGGTGATCTGACTTGCTGTATAAAGGATAAAGGCTTAAAAAAAAAAAGTTCCGTGAGTTTCGCAGAGCGCGTTCCGGTGCGTAAGCCTCACAGCACCGGTGAGGTCGGCTCTTTAATCCCATTTAAATGATAAATGTATCTGGGCTTGGAGAGGTTAAGTGTCCCGCTTAAAGTTCAGCCTCAAAGCCATTGAGCTCCGCCTCCAAACCAGGTCGTCTGATTCATTCTGCAACGCCGCGTAACGTTAGGACGGCTAATAATTTATCACTTAGGGGGTCGGGGGTAGCTCCCAGCGTGGATGAGGACGGGCGGGCCTCCACTTTAAAAAAAAAAAAAAGAAACCGTAATCACGGGTTGTGAGCTACATTGGCTCATCTTAGCTTAAGATCATTGGCTTTGCAGTTTTCGCCTAATTTCAAAAGCAAAACATGTTCACTGTCGTCGATGTGGAAGGAACTAGAAAGCACGAAGACAGTTTTTTTCCGGTTAAAATACAGGAGTTGAATTATATATGAGTTTCAGACACACAACGGATGATCTTATGCCAAAGAAAAAGGGGGTGGGGTGGGGAAGATGGTCTATAGAGCCATCATCTACAAATAATCACCTTAAGGTTTTGGGGCATGCTTCTGTGACGTTTGCCTAAAACAATTTGGATCAGGTGGTACAGCTTGCTTCGTAACCAGCTCTTTCTGCACTTAATCTGATGTTAATGTCTTCCCTGGTCAAATATCCTCAGCCCAGTACTTTCTCACACTTTAATTTGCTTAGGAATCCCCCGGAGAATCTTGTTAAAATGCAAATTTCGACACGGGAGGCCTTGGGGAGAGATCTTGGAATTTCGACGAGCTCCTCGGTGATGCCAGTGCAGCAGTCCGCGGATCACATTCCCGGAGCGAGGCCTGAGAGTGTAGACATGTTCACCAGGTGCACAGTATCCTATCGTGAGATTCCCATGAGCTCCATAGGTTCTATTGGTGGCCACCTCGATTTTGTGGGATCAATTAGCCTTTTTTTTTTTTTTTTAAGATTTTATTTATTCATGAGAGACTCAGAGAGAGAGAGAGAGGCAGGCTCCATGCAGGGAACCCGATGCGGGACTCGATCTCGGGACTCGATCTCGGGACTCGATCCCATGACTCGATCCCGGGACTCGATCTCGGGGCTCCGGGATCACGCCCCGGGCCGAAGGCAGGCGCTAACCCGCTGAGCCACCCAGGGATCCCCTCAATTAGCCTTTCAATAAGAATTGGACCTGGGGACTGGAACGCAGGAGGCACCCTAAGGGGTCTCCTTGACACTCACCCCCCACCCCACCCGCAAACATCGAGAGGTGGGTTCTTTCCAATCGACAGTACCACGAGCCGTCAGGACTGCGTCCCGCACGGGTCCCAGACATAGCTCTCCCTCCTTCCCGTAGACCCGTCGCCTAGTCCCAAGCCAGCCTCCCAGGACTCAATTTCCCTGCCATCCCCTCGGTCTACGTCAGCCCCGCCGCCGCCGCGGTTGCTGCCAAGCCCCGGAGTGGACTTCGGGAACGTGCGCGCGAACGGCGCACTGGGCATGCGCAAGGCAGCCCCGGGCCCGGCCGGTCGAGGACTCTGGCGGCTCGCGGTCGCGCGGCCGGCGACCCGCCGCCTCGCTAGCGGCCGCGAGGAGGGAGCAGCCGCCGCCCCGCCGCCGCCCCCCACGCCCCCACCAGCGCCTTGGCCTCCTGGTGGACGGAGCCGGCCCCGCCGCTCGGGGCCCGCGGCCGGCCGCGTCCTCACGTGCCGAGGCCGCCGCAGTGACCCCGCCCCCGGCCGAGGATGTGAGGCTGGCTGGCCCGGCGTGCCCGCGGCGGTCCGGGCGGCTCGGCGGCGCCGGGCGATGGCCCTGCTGCCGGCGCTCCTCGCGTCCTGGGGCTCGGGGCAGTGAGGGGCCCGGCGGGCGAGGGCAGGCGGCCGCGGCGCCATGGAGGGGGTGCTGTACAAGTGGACCAACTATCTGAGCGGTGAGTGGGGGGCGCGCCGGGCGCCGCGTCCTTTGTCTGCGCGGCCGGGGGGCGGCGTCGGGGTCGTCGGGGTCGTCGGGGTCGTCGGGGTCGCGGCCCCTCCTGAGGCGGGAGCGGCCTGCACGGCCGGGAATGTTGCCCCGGAGCCGTCCTCACAGAGCCGTGTCCGCGTGCTGCGCGAGCCCGGGGGCTGGGTGAGGGCCGGAGCCGCCGCCTCACGAGGCAGGCCGGGCGCCCGCGCTGGGGCCCTCTGGGGGTCCGCCCCGCGCCGGCGGAGGAGCCGGTCTCACCCGGCCAGCAGGTAGGTCGGAAGGCTTCAGGTGAGTGCCCGAGAGAATCCCAGGAGCTGGAATTCCAGAGGTGAGACGTCCTTTCTTCCACACGAAGTTCCCGGTGCGGACACTTTTCCTTTCGTCACCTTCGGAGCCCTCCGTGCGCGGGCCGACGTCTCGGGAGTTGGCCTCTCCCCAGTTTTCAAAGCTCCAAAGTCCGTGCACGGTGTTTGCGTTTCTCAACGGAGCATCCTTTTTTGTTTCACGGACTCGGAAATTACCGTAAAAGAATGAAACCGTAGCAGCTGTTTTGGTTGCACTGCCGGGCGAGAATGGCTTAAAAAAAAAGAAAAATAGTACCCCGCCCCCTTTCCAATGTGTGGAAGTACTTTATTTCATATTTTGGAAGGTCATAACTTATCCTCCCAACTGGGAATAGGATTCAGAACGAGTCTTTTTTTTTTTTTTTTTTTTTTTTCCATTTGTGCAACCAGTGTGTTAGTAAGAAGTAAGAAGCCTTCTGCTTGCTGGAAATTGTGTTAGGCACCTTTTGGGAACTTTATTGTAGAAAATGAGGCGGGCACTTTTTTTTAAATTTTTTTTAATTTTTATTTATTTATGATAGTCACAGAGACACAGGCAGAGGGAGAAGCAGGCTCCATGCACCAGGAGCCCGATGTGGGATTCGATCCGGGGTCTCCAGGATCGCGCCCTGGGCCAAAGGCAGGCGCCAAACCGCTGCGCCACCCAGGGATCCCGAGGTGGGCACTTTTAATAGCGTATTTGAAACCGGAAGTATTCCCAGGATCGCTTACAGTGAGAGAGCTATACTGTCCCATCCTTTCTCTGATAGAACAGTTTTTTAAAGGTTGCAGTGTGGTGACGACGGATGTGTCTGGGAGGATCGGTTGGTATAGACTTTGATGAGGTTACATGGCACAGCCAAAAATGCACCTGTTGGGTGTACCCAGGATCTCTTCCTTATGCAAACTGTGGTGAGAAGTGAGTTGTTTATTTTTCTTATTAGTAGAGACTGAGGGAGGAGAAGTGTTTTTAGAAGATCTGGCCTTTGTTTTTTGAGCACTTTCTTCGAAGCCAAATGATGAAATTAGATGTGGATAACTTGTGACTGGGCTTTGGTGAATGTCCAGTGCTGGTTAACACTCTACTTAAACCAAAAGAAACATGCATGATCGGGTCATTTTCCTTTGAGATCTCTCTGAGCCTTGATATGTATGGATCTTATGTCGTTGAGTAAAATTTAGTTCCTGGTCTTTCACCCCTTTCTTTGCATAACACATGCTTTTTGACTTTTTTCTTTCATCCTGAACACTGGTCCTTCTTTTCTTCCATCTCCTCCCCACCATTTCTTTTTTTTTTTTTTTTTTGTAGATTTTATTTATTCATGACACAGAGAGAGAGAGAGAGAGAGGCAGAGACACAGAAACAGGCAGAGGGAGAAGCAGGCTCTAAGCAGGAAGCCTGATGTGGGACTCGATCCTGGGACTCCAGGATCATACCCTGGGCCAAAGGCAGGCGCTAAACCGCCGAGCCACCCAGGGAACCCCTGATTCACCTTTTTTTATTCCTCTCTTTCTTCTTTATATAGAAAGATTAGTCTCTGGGTATAGTCCCTGTTTCCTGTTGTGAAATGCCTTTTTTCCCCCCTGACTCTTTTTATGTACCCTTCAATAAAATAAAACCTCTCTAGAAGGATCTTTTGGAATCTTTATCCTGTGATGCCTGTACCATCTGTCCTGTTGGAAAAGAGTCGTCTTTTTTCTGCCCCAAGTGAAAGAAGTTAGTTCTGCAAATGTGCCAGGGTGGAAGCCCTAAAAAAAGGGGGCTGGAGCCATTGCCAGAGGCAGCTGTCCTCTTATCATGCTGCTGCTTCCCTTGGACTCACGCGCCTCCTCATTGTGGGCATACTGTTCATGGAAGCCTGTCACACTACTGGGTACTTCTCCTGAATATACTTAAAATTATGTTTCAGTACATTGTCTTTCATCAGGAGATAAATTTAAACAGTATAGCCTACGAAGAACAAATGCATTCCTGTTTCTTCTATCTTCCTATGTAAGTTAGTCTCCCAGAAGAGTATAGTGTGACTATTAATGACACGCTTTGGTGAAGACATTACTACTTTTTCTTTTCTGAAGCTTGTGGGGTTTTTTTGTTTGTTTGTTTTTGTTTTTTTATTTATTCATGAGAGATACAGAGAGAGGCAGAGACAGGCAGAAGGAGAAGCAGGCTCCATGTAGGGAGCCCGATGTGAGACTCAATCCCAGGACTCTGGAATCACACCCTGGGCCTAAGGCAGGCGCTAAAGCACCGAGCCACCCAGAGATCCCCTGTATTTTATTTTTTTGAAGCTTGTTTTTAAAAGTAATATTTTTTTCTTGGGATTTTGCATGTAGTAATTTTAAAATACATAAAATTCCAGTTTTTGTTCATGCTGAATTTTTCTCTAAATCAAACCTGTTTGTGTAATTTTGTCATACCCACTGCTTGATATGGGAATCCTTTGGCAAACGTGAGTGGAGAAGTTAGAAAATCAGTTTATTAGCGGGTCCTCGGATCACTTGGAGGATATTGTTAATTTCACTCACCACCTTCTGTGTCCTCGGCACTTTCTCAGGTACAGGGCAAGGGACACGACACAGAGTAAGACAGACACAGTCGCAGCCTTCTTTGAGTGAGCTTATAGTCTGGTGGGGGAGAAAGACATCATGGAATAAGTACTTAGAAGCATGTTCCAAGCATGTGTGGTCTGGGGGAAGATGAAGGAGAGAAACTAGCTTGGGTCATTGGGGAAGGCTTCTCTGAAGAAGAGATTTCAGCAGAGCCTAAAGGATAAATAGAAGCTAACTAGTTAGCAAGGTCAAGGCAGAGCTGCAGTTGGAGGTTGCTGAGAAGAATTTATAGCTACAGAGAATGTCAGTATGAAGACCCAAAGCGGGATAGAGACAGGTGAGTAAGAAAAGGAAAGAAGACCCACGTGGCTGCAGAGTTGAGAGCAAAGTTAATAAGGCTCCATCCACCAGGGCTACAGGGGGTGGGTAGGAAGCTTGAAAGGCTCCTGCAGGGCGTCTTACGCTGGGGTAAAAACGGTGCAGTGGTGGGAGTGGGTGAGAGAAAAATGATGAGATTGTTTAAAAGCTTACTTTGGTTGCGTTTACTATATTTTGCTAAATACTGTTATTTATTTTGTGAATTTCTTTTGCCTCTTGAATTAAACTGGTAGGTATCAGTTACTGAAAGTTGGAAACATCAAACCCTGAGAATAATATCTAAATTGCTTGCATGAGTGTGGTGCCAAAATACAGAAATAGAAGCAGTTCTTTTTCTAATACATTAGGTATTATATTCAGGTACCATCTGCTCCTTAAAAGGAAAGTGGAAGAAAAAAAAAAGTAAAAGAGAGCTCATGTGTTTTTTCTACCAACAGCCCTGAGCCATCCTACTTTTTAAGCATCTGATTTAGGGTCAAACCCTCTCTTCAGGTATTTGATTAAACCTGGAATGCAAAGGAAATGGATCAAACATTTCACAAACACCTATATAGTGTGAGACACAGAGCTAGGCATTGTAGGTTTGTTATTTGTATCTTTCAAGCCCTAAAACTTGCTCAAGGAATATTATACATACACACTTGTAAATTAGTGCTCTGTAGTAGAATCCTAATTGAGGAGTCAGTTGATATCAGCTCTATCACTGCCAGCTTCAGAGTCACTTTACCATTCTGAGCTTAGCATCTTCCTCCATAAAAATGATGAGATTTACCAGTTAATAATTATAAAAATAGTAAAAAACTTAATAATGTTCCAGGCACTATTCTAAACATTATATGTGGATTAAGTCATTTAATCTTCACAGCAGTTTTAAGAAGCAGTTGCCTTTATTCCCATATTCCAGATGAAGATCTTGAGACACAGAAAGGTAAAGAAACTGGCCCAAGGTCACATAGTAAGTGGCTTCAGAGTCATTGCTCCATTACATAATATTTTGAAAGGTCCTTCCTGCTTGATCATTATATAATTCTAGCTGATTCATAATGCACCTATATTTAAAGTATGTTGACCTAGAATAGCAGACTATTTGGGGGTAGGAGGAAGGGAAGAGTTCAGGAGTGAGGAAGACTTTGCTCAGTATTGTGCATGTGTTTTGTCACAAGAAAATTTTCTGAACTGTGCTGTGAGCTTTCTGTTTTGCAGTTTTAGGTCCCTTTCCTGCTCTCTCAGCAAATGGGAGGTCTGCTGCCCAGAGCTCTATCCAGCTGCAGGCTTCAGGGGCCCAACCAGCAGGTTAGGGCACAAGCACATTGCAGTACTGCATTCCAGAAATAATACAAGCTTGCATCATGCTGACCAGATGGTTGTCTGAGAAAGTACCATAATTTTGCTTACTACACCCCAATTCAGGTGAAGGAAGGTGACTCCTGCCCATATATGTTTGTGCTATATAAACAGTGCCAAGAGGGCATCTGGAATGTGAGTGATCAGAGCAAGATTCTCATGGTCTCATAACCCTGGTCAACATTTTTTGTTGTTGTTGCTTTAGCCTCTTTATTGAGATAAATATTCACTTATCATAAGTTTCACTCATTTAAAGTATACTAGTTAGTAGTTCTTAGTGTATTTATAGAGTGTAACCATAACTACAATTTTAAAACATTTGCATTATCCCCTAAAGAAACCCAGTTAGCAATCTTTTCCACCCCACCCCCTC